GTCGATTTAGGGCTAGTCGGCGATGGCAATGAAGACCTTACGGCGGCTGAGGATGACAGTGATGAATGAATGAAGATGGCCGATTAGGATTTAGGACCAAGAAAGAGAGACGATCTGAAAATGATTGGTAATGGCGCGACTGAATTTAATAGCAAGACTACTCCGTCATTTTATTTTTGCTTTTCGCTTTTCACTCTAAAAAAATCATTAAATGGAACAAGGGAGTATTTCACTAGTAGATTATACGATTAATTTGGGAGGGAGGGAGTGTAAACTTGGGACAGAGAGAGGGAGGGAGTATAAATGGAACTACGACGATTAATTTGGGACGGAGGGGGTATATATTTTAATAACACATTGAATTATATTGCAGTTAGATCATTAAATTATACTCCCTCCGTCCAAAATTAAACTTCCCGGTTTGACCGGGCACGCATATTAATGTGTGATAAAAATTGCTTTGACTTTCCTATTATACCCCTACACCCTCTCCACCCATTTGTAAGACTAGTTCCCTAGTCGCACGTCCCAATCGGACCAATTTCCGTCATCCAAGAATGCGGCCGCGGGCATTGGGGACATCTTCCTTCGACCAGTTTCCGTCATCCATTCCGTAACCCCCATCCTCGTAGATTTATTCTAGATCTGTCTTATTGTTGAAGATAACCCGAAAGAGGATGAATCTCTTTCATTTGAGGTTTTGACGGCAAGAGGTGAGGCTAGGAGTAACAGAGGCTTTGTAGATCTTTGGAATTGATGGCGGCAATGTCGGAAGAGAAGCAGATATGGACGCCGCGTCAACTCCGACCACTGCCTCGGTGCTCCGCTGCTCCCAATCACTGGGTGACGGGACAAATTCTGAAGGGGGGGAGGGATAAATAAAAGAAGATGATGGAGAAGAAAAGAAAGAAGAAGAAAAGAACGAAGAAGAGAAGAGAAGAAAAGAAGGAAGAAGAAGAGAGAAAAACAAAGAAAAAATGAAGGGGGAGTGGGTGAATCGAAAGGGAAACTGGGAAAAGAAGAAATGGAAAAAGAGAGAAGAAAAGGAGAAAGAAGAATATGGATGGCCGGTGGGATCCGTGAATATGGATGGAGAGGAGGAAGAAAGAAGAAAAAAGGTTGATGATTGGGGGTAATTAAGTCTTTTTAGTGTAAAAAAGTTTCCAAAAAAGGAAATGGGAAGTTTATTTGTGAACGGATGAAAAAGGAAAGTGGGAAGTTTATTTATGGACGGAGGGAGTAAGTGAATTGACGTATCAATGGACTTCAAAAACGGTAACTTATCATTAATATCGCCTCATCAAATGACCAATTACTATGTGCAAAATATATGGGTTTAGTGACAAATCACTCGTAATATGCCTAAATAATACGCATTGATCAGATTGGGCCTAATTGTAGATGATTTAAAAATAAAAAATAAATGATTGAAAAATAAAAATTAAATTGAAAAAATGACAGTAACTATGAAAGAAATTAGTGAGAAATTATTCAATGTAATCTCGCTATAATAAAATGATCCAGTAGTCTCGCAATTCAATTCAGTCACGACATTACCAATCATCTTCAAATCCTCTCTTTCTTGGTCCTAAATCTTGACCGGCCATCAGCCATCTTCATTCATTCATCACTGTCATCCGCAACCGTCGTGAAGTCTTCATCGTCATCACCGACTAGCCCTAAATCGACACTTCAAAGCCAAGATTGAATTAACGAGGATGGAGATAAGGGATCCCACCTTTGGGATGAGCGTCGCATCCAATTCCAAAAGAGTGGGTAAGTTAAATTTGTGCTTCACATTGCGTGATTGTATGATTTTTTTCCATCTAATTTGGTCTGGTTTTCTATATTGTGTTTTAATCGACAGGAAAAAGGTTTGTTAAGGTTTGTTTTTTACCAGAGATCTTCTTGGATATCTGGGCCCGTTTGTGACAGATAACCTGTAGACTCTACGATTGTGACAGTGGAGAGGCCAATTCACGAGAGACTTTGAAGGTAATCGAGCACAAATCACAAAGAGTTTTCGACATTTTTACTCCTCTAAAGGAGCACATTCCCAAGAAAGCTCTGGACAAAGAAAAGGACATTGGAAGAATGTTTGTACGATGCAACTTATTTGTAACTATGGACCAGAAGGACAGAGTGTTAACATTGGTTACAAAAAGAGTCTGGTCTGTGAGTCACATACTGTGACTTGGCCTAATTTAGTGGGTCGGGCCAATGATTACTCGAATGAACATTACATCTACATAACCCGCATAGTCAATTAGCCTATCTTCATCAGCCCAGACCTCTTCTTTAAATGGAGCGCATATTCCTTGTTGTTTTCGAGTCGGGCCCACTCTTCATAAAAACTTGTATAGTGCATAGCAATCTTGTTTAGAATAACATCTTTTCAACTCAATTTCGTGTAGAGTATACTCATGCATCACCCAATTAGTTTGTTAACCTCTCTGCACACAACCGCTATAAAAGACCAGAGTTTTCTTGATCCCAACATCACGAAACTACATGTGATGATACGGTCCTTTCCTATTGCCTTCTAATAGCCATGCCCATTGGCTATATTCGTCCTTGAACCATTTGGATTCAATCTCTGGGGCTAAAGAAGAACCATTGTCTGTCACCACTTTGCAACTTAGAAAGTCCTACATTTTTATAGATTTCCAAAACCAATCAACAACCAAAAATGATGAGAACTGAGTCCATTTGGAAACCTTTCTCACCTCATCGTGGTACAATTGCGGTGAAAATATCATTCAGCCACTTATTACATGGTCCTATCTCTTCCAAAGTGGTCTCCCAAGTAGTTACCATGAAGTACTTACATAATATGTTCCCGAATGGAACTCTCGAGGATCAATATTACCTTTAGATACCCCGCATGTAAATGATTAGGTAATTGTTCATCTCTAGTTGAACCTTCCAATTCAGAAATTATAGGGGCAAAGGATCGACCTTGTATTGGTTCTTCACCTCTTCAAAGCCTATCACTTCGACACTAATCGCCATTAGTAGTGGAAATAGCCTACTAAGTGCATCGGTCACAATATTACTCTTACCGGTCTTATACTTTAAAGAGAGACTAATCTCACTAGTGTGCAAACTACACTGAGCATGACAGTTCACGGTACTTGAGCTTCCCTTTTGAACTCGCGCTTGATGATCTGAGTAAACCACAAACCCTCAATACGTCGGGTAATGATCCCAATGTTCAATAGCCTTTACCAGAGCATAAAACTCTAGATCAAAAGTCGAGTAGCTTCTCTCTCAAAAATTCCATCGGCATTCCTTCTTGGCAGAGAACAACATCAATTCCCGCGTGAGATGCATCACATTCAAGGACAAATAGCCTCTGAAAATCTGGAAGTCCAAGAATGGGTATTCCGTCATCAGAATTTTAACCACTTCAAAGGCCTTTTGGGCTGATTTTGACCAATCAAAATTGTCCCTGTTCAAACATTCAGTGGTTGGACTCACAACACTACTGAAATTCTTGATAAATCTCCTATAAAATAAAGCCAAACCATTAAAACTTTGAACATCTCTAAAATTCTATGATGTAGGTCATTCTGTAATGGCACAAACCTTCTCAATATATAGTTTGATGCCATCATAAGAGATAACTAACCCCCAAAAAAGATGACTTCTTCACACAACTTCAAATTCATAATAAACTCTGCTTTTTTAACACCTCAAAATCTAGTTGCAAGTGAGGGAGATGTTCTTCCTTTCTTTTGTGGTACACCAATATGTCATCAAAGTAAACAACAGAAGAATTCAGAAACGGATTAAGTACCCCATTAATGACCCGCATAAACGTGCTCAGTGCATTAGAAAGGCCAAAAGACCATCCGGAGTCTTGAACACTGTCTTCCACACATCTCCAACTCTCAACCTGATTTGCTGGTGCCCACTCTTCATGTCAATTATTGAAAATACTCTAGAACCAGCCAATTGATACAGCATATCATTTAACCGAGGGAAGGTAAACACGCATTTGATGGTGAATTGGTGATTTTATTAATTGCATGGTTGTCCACACACATCCTCCACGAAGCATCCTTCTTTGGAGTAAGTAAAACTAGGCATACACGCGGCCTCAAACTTTCACGCACCAAACCTTTAACCAACAACTCTTCTACTTTCCATTTTTATTATGGAACCATTTTTTAATATTCAATGTATTTTTAAATAATAAAAATAAATAATGGTCTAAGCTTGTAAAATTTGACATTAGTCCCCTTCCAATTTTTGGAACAACATTTAGATGATGTTTTTAAAGCCTTTAACTTGATAGAAGAGGCTATTAGTATTTTATGATGCTGTGAACAAATGCTTACGAGACTAATGACACCTTTCATGAGAATACCTGCTTTCCCATTCTTGACATATGTTACGTTTTCAATGTTTAGGTTTTATTTATGCACTTTATATATGTATACAACATATATGGCATATACAATAATTTATCTTTTCCACATTGCTTCCACCATATGCCACAGCACCATCTGCCATATTTGTATGATAAACTTTTGGCTAGGCTCCATAATATGTCATGGATAATACTGACATGGTAAACTGGATAGCAGAGAGAACATAGCAATGGTCTGTCAGTCAGCATCAGTACAAATATGCTAAGGGTCCGTTTGGTACACGGAATTGATGGAATTGGAATTGAATTGGAATTAAAATTCCATGGGATTCAATTCCATGGAATTGAATTCACCAATTCCAAATCATTTTTTGCACTATCAATTCCAAATCCACATAATTTTTGTGCTACCAAACATGAGAATTGGAATTGAAGTCCTCAATTCCAATTCCAAAGTTTGAATTCCGTGTACCAAACGGGACCTAAGACATTTTCCAAATAAAAATTATAGTAGATATTTTCTACAACATTTCCACCACATGATAGCAGAATTATAATTCTAGCTTCTAGTAAAATCAATGAAGAAATGATACAAGATGAGAATCATGAGACCTGAATGTAGTACCTATAGGAGTCAGCATCTCTGTTATATTCACATAATATGAATTCCTTCCCAGTTTCCAGATCACACATAACCTGATAAATAGTTATATACAATTTTTTTTAAAAAAATGGGACTTATCCAAGTATCCAACAAGACATCACGCTCATCAATATTATATGCTTCAAAAAATTCTTGAGTTATGGCATATTCAAAGATCATGATAACACACAGGTAACTAAGGAAATCTGAAATAAAGTATACATTATGAAGTATAAGAACAATCTCTCCTACTTTCTCTCAATGCAAGGATATCTCTTATGACATTATAGAAGCCAATGAGAATCTCCAATGCAAAAAAAAAAAAGTCATCCACTCATGTCCTAGCCTCACTAAGGTTGAGGTATCTATATGAATAGACTTACAATGGAATGAATTGACTCGTGATGGCCACACTCTAGTAGCAGAAATAACTGACCATGATGAAAATAGCCATCAGAAAGTAGTGGGACCAACATCTATGACGAGAATACTTTAAAAAGGTATTTTAAAGACTCGGAGCAGAATGAAACTTTTTGTGGGTGGAATAGAAAATGAGAAAATGTTATTGTACGGATAGGCCTGAAAAGGCCATGGTAGTAGGTAGTTGGTCAATTCCTAAACGACTAAACTACAGCCTTATAATAGGCAAGTTACAACAGAAGTAAGGAACAACGTGAAGTCTTCCACTTAAGTGTTTCAGTCTTTACTTGGTGACTGAAGTACTGAACAAGTTGGTTTAATAGCTTAAAAGCTCCAAGGCTTTAGTTGCATCTGGGAGCCTTGATTCATGATGTATTGCATATTTTCTAACTTAGACAGCCGCTACAATATAAATTTAAGGCACAATTGCACCCCCCCCCCCACCGGGGCTTAATAGTCTGTTACTCCGTATTATATAAGCCAATTGAAGTGCTTGATGTAACTGCAGTTTACATCTTAGTAAATCTTAGTCCAATGAAACAATTTACCACCTATTAATCGAAGATGTACCATTTTCCAGATTAATTCATTGCGCTCATTGTAATATTACACCAGTAGGAGTATATAGCTTCTGTTTGGATGATACTCCCTCCGTCCCATAAAAAGGTTCCACATTCTCTTTTTCATTCGTCCCAACAAAAAGGTTTCACTTTATAAGCTTATATTATTTCTTTGCTTTGGACAACTTTTAACCACACAATTTCACTTTTCTTAGTCCTGTCAATTCCATTAGGGAAGCATTTTGTGGGACGTGGGGAGTACAACTTTGGGTTACAACTATAAATAGTAGTCTTAGGTTTCCATTCTATCCCGGATTCTTTCTCCCTCTCTGTCTCTCTATGAATTCTTCCTCATTTTTCATCCTTCCATAAAAACTCATTAGATTTCATAGAAGCTGGTTCAAGGAGCTAAGACCATTACATAAATGCAAGCCTACTCCAAAATGGGACAAAAGTAAACTACATGGCTTAAGCCCTATAACAAAACAAAACCTTCATTTTACACGAAATTTTTCTCAAAATGACGTGAAAATGTTGCTCAGTAAAACAAAATAATGGATTGAAACTCCTAAATCCCTATGCCAACAAAATCAATTAAACATAAATGTATTGAAGATACAGAAGCATCAATGGACGTTTGTGCAGACCAAGATTTCTATTACCTAAAATAGAGTTACCTGGAGAGGCTGATCCACCTGCGAGAGGAGATCGGAAGAGTGATCCGGCAAGAGGCTGAGCAATGCGGATAGAGCCGTCTCCATGTGCTTCGGCGGCATTCTTCTCATCAATCCGAGAGCTGCCTCCATTGACTCGGCTGTCACCCGGACTTGATACTCGATGGAGTCGATGCGGAATGAAACCAAGCTTCAATTTTGGACGTGACTGACGGAACAAATATTGTGACTTGTGAGAGAGATGGCAATCTCGTCAACCGGAGCAGTTTCGGATTGGATTTTTTTGGTTCGGATAAATGTTATAATCAATTCAGTTCAGATCGATTTGATTTCGATTCGTATTTTATTTGGTTCGATTCGGTTTTGAGTCGGTTTAGATATAAATCGATTCGGATAGATTTCAATTCGGATATAAAATGAATCGGATATATTTCAGTTTCGGATCTAAATCAGTTCGGATATATTTCGATTTCAGATATATTTCAGTTCGGATATATTTCAATCAAATATATTTTGGATATATATTATTTTCTAATTAATATTTAATTATTTATGTTTCTTTTTTATGTTTTATGACATTTATCAATCTATCATCAATTCAACACCTCATATTATTTAATTTTTTTCTAATTATATTATCTCTACTCTAAATAATCTTCTTTTTTGACTTTTTAGTCATATTTTACAAATTTGGACTACTAATTATGAAAAAAATTATTTAATTATGATATAAATTTAAATAATTAAATTAATTTTAAAATTTAGTTTTGATATATCACATTTTTCTCACATCTACTAAAATATTTATGTTTATAAATGAAAAGATAAAAAATAAATTCAAATAGTGCAAAATTTAGTGGAATTGAGTGGAATTGGGTGGAATTAAGTAAATTTGGTACAAATTGAGTGGAATTGGGTGGAATTAAGTACGTAGTAAATTTTATTCAATTGAGTGCAAAATTTTTAAATTATTTGAGTGTATTTGGTTGAAATTAGATATAATTAAATTTAATAGAGTCGAATATAATTAATTTTACACCTAAATGTGCTTATTGAAAGGCAAACACAGTTTCGAATTTAAAAATACAATATGCTTATTGAAAGGCAAACACAGTTTCGAATTTATCGGGTTTAGTTCTAACCCGGTTCGGATATTATCAGTTTTGGATCTAATCGGTTTCTGGTTTTACCGATTTCGGGTATTATCGGTTTCGGGTTTAATCGTTTTGGATATTATCGGTTCGGATTTAAATCGGATATGAATTATTTAGTTCGGTTTCGGTTCGGTTCGGATCATTTCGGGTTTTTGGTTATACAGCGAATCTTCATTTTCCAGATCATTTCAGTTTTGATTTCAAATAATTCGGTTTGGGTAATCGGTTCTGATTCTGTTTTGCCAGGTCTACTTGTGAGCAACTTAGAACAAATCTTGTGGTTGGGAACAACTTTTGAAAATAATTTTTGTTCTTTGATTATATTAGGAAGTATAAAATAGAAAAAAAATGATGAGTAAAAAGTTACAGGTATTTTTTGGTCCTAGTTTATTTATTTAGTTTGATTTTTTCGAGTCAAACATGATGAACGCTAAGCTTATTTAAATAAAAATTGTAACGTATATTAGTAAGAAATTATTTTACCAGATATATCATGTTAGAAAATTTCAAAATTTTATTTCGTTAAGATAACATGTAACATCAATTGGGAGTAATTGAAGTTCAAAATTTATCCAATTTATTTTGAAAAGGTCAAATTTAATAAATATTTTAGGACGGAGGTAGTAATTAACAAGAAAGAAATTAGTAAGGTTTACCTACTTATTTTAAAGTCTTTTTATTTCTCTGCTTTGATTAAATCATTTACAAAACTACCTCTAATGTTTTATTGATATCCTCGAATGATACCATCAAAAAAATATCCCCAAATGATTCATCTCTAACTTAAGTCATTTTGCAAAAAAAAAAATCAATAACAAATTTATTAGTTAAAAAAAATTATTAAAAAAATGAAACAGCAATTGCAGAGAGAAGCACCGCTAGAGTTTCGACTACTCGCTTTAAAATTTGATGTACAACAATTTTTACACCAAATAGATCATGATTCTTTTTCTCATACATTAGATTTCTAAACTTGGGTCTTAAATCTCTAAGACCCCGCACCAAAAATCTTACAACAACAAAAACCCAGTTAAATCTCACAAGAGTAGGACTGAGAAGGGTGTATATACGCAGACCTTACCCCTACTCGAAAGTAAAGAGGCTGTTTCCAAAGAGACCCCCGGCTCAACGTTGAAAGTTGCATTACTTGACTAAATGCTACTTCATTAATTAAAGAATTGCAAAGAGTTTAATCCTCTGATTCAGATACCCATATGTGAGAATCGCAATCCTTCCCTAGTGACTCTCGTTTCGTTCCAAAACTTTGTCAAACTCTATTTATGGTATACGCATTTTATTATTCTCCAAATAAAATGGGCCCAAAATCTTAACTTTAACACGGGTCGCCCCCGAATCGGTCCATTTTGTATAATTTAATAGAATTATTATAAATATAATAAATAGATTGCATACAATGTATTCAATATTGTATCAATAAAAGTATACAAAATAAATAAATTATACTTGGTAGCACTTTTTTTGTCTGTTTTGCAAATTCAATTAGTGAAAGTTCTTGGTTGAATATTGTAATTTGTTTTTAAAAAATATTATTTCGTTTATGCAAACTATATGAATTCGTTTCACAATGTGTATTATTATATCATCAAAAATTGTTCACTTGTTTGTGAGTATTTTAAATTTTGAAAAAATTTAGAGTATTACTCGATGTCAAAGAACCAACTCAACCAAAAGCTCAAGCTTGTGGGTGTCGCCCAGGAACAGTTAATTATATTCTAACACGCCCCTCACGTGCAGGCGTAGTCTTTTTCAAGCCTTGCACGTGAAACCTTAATTTTTTTAAACTAGGTGGCGCTAAGTTTCGAACCCGTGACCTCTTAGTCAACGAGGCTCCATTACCATGTCAAAAAACCAACTCAACCAAAAGCTCAAGTTTGTGGTTGTGGCCTAGAAACAGTTATTTATATTTTAACACTCGACAAATCTCTAATTATACAAGAGTACTCCGGAAATTATTTAATTACATCATTACTCCAACAATTGCTCTCTTTTTACAATAAAACTCCAACAATTGCTCTCTTTTAAAGTGATAACTTGAAAAATAAATTATTTTTGTTAAATTTTCATTAAAAAATTAAATTTCTTATTCCTCATCCAATTAAAATGTCTATCACATTTCTCACGATTAGGGCTTGTTCTTTTTTGCTGAAATTCTAAAATTGGATGTCGGAAAAATTGGAAGAAATTTGAAAAACTAGTAGAAGTTGGAAATCGTTAAAAAAGTAAAGTGTAAAAAAAATTACTCAATTAAATGATCACCTAAATAAATATGTAAGAAAACTAATATTTCATTTGGAGAATGAATGTATACTATAATTTTTTTATGAAAAGAAAAGAGGTGATTTATTTTCTAAATGATCACTTTAAAAATCCATTTAGATATTACACAATATGATTGTGCAAGTGGGTGGAATATTTTTGTAAAAGGAAAAACACTAAAGTATCGGTAAACATAGAAAATATACCAAAATAGAAATTTTATATTTTTATTTGTAAAATCTGAGTTAAAATATAAATACAATATCAATCATGTCAATATAATACCAAAAAGTATTGTGAAATGTCCATGTATAGTGTCACGTTATTATTATACAAACTTTTATTTTGAGATAAAAGCATGAAGCTTTTATTTTGGTATGTTCTCTATGTTTTACTCTTATTTATGGTGATATGTTTTTTGTAAAAAGAGAGAAATTATGGGAGTAGTGGCTTAATTAATTGATTTTTGGAGTATTCTTATAAAATTAGAGATTTATCAGAGTACTGTTGAGATTTATCATAAACTTTGAATTTGATGTTAAAACTATGAACTAATCATACCAAAATGATGTATGAACCTTGGAGAATACTTCTATATAGTTTAATTGAAGTTTGGTAACTAAAAATGGTATTTTCGAAATTGGACCCAAAATAAAGAAGGCGATGAATAGTGATTGAAAAGCCAGAGGGTGGATCGATCCACCATCCTGAATCGATCACCTGGAAGATTTCTTCCATGACGGATCGATCCAAGGTGCTGGATCAATCCCCTGACCTATTTGCTTTGAAAATATTTCTGAAAATGTTGTTTTTGAGCTCTAAAATTCTATTTTTGATACCTACTAATTATAAAAAATATAAAGATGATTTTTCACAATAAAATGATGTTTTTAACAAAGAAAATGTTATGCGATGCATGACGGTAAACTAGGGTATTAAAACTCAATGCTAGACCATTATTTGTTATTGAGTATTATGATGATTATTATTGATTGATGATTATGATGATTAAACCTTGATAAATATTCCGAATAAAATGATAATTATGAATGATTTAATCAAAATGAATGTATTGATGATTGTGAAAGAAAAATGTATTGTTAAGGATATCTAGAATAACTCTAAGATATACCCAGAGTGATGTTGATTTTGAAGGATATCTAGAAGAATTTTAAGATATACCCATTTAAGTTAGCCCTTGCGGGTATGATGCCCGGTGGCCAGGGTTAAAACGTACGTACGAGATCCACAAACCAAACTTGAGTACCTACTCGTTTGGGGGTACCACCCACCCGACAGTGAACATTCCGCTATTCGATTTCTAGTTGACCTTAAGCAAAGATAAGTTTAAGATTTTGAAAATTCCTTTGGAAAATTTGTATCTTAAACTAGGCATAGCTTAAGGGTTGGTTAGGAATACCTTAAACAAGAATTAGTTTAAGAATTGAATTGGCCTTAGATTAAGAATAGTTTAAGAATATTGTTGAATATGAATGTTGAATATCTGAAGTGAACATTATGTGCATGATATCAAATGATTTGATTATGAATTGAGATTCAATTTATATGGATGTTCGACGCATTAGATATGCTTACTCAGCTTCACTGCTGAGCGTGTAGTGTGTTTTATTTACTACACGCAGGTACACAGAATTAATGAAGTGATTGTTCCTGATGGTAGACGGGGGAGACGGTGTCGAAGGATGTGTGGATTTAAAATAACAAATGGTGATTGTCATGAAACATCTTTTAAATTCGCTTTCGCAATATTATT